AACCAAATCCAAGTATCCAACCCAACCCGGGAGTCAAGAGGCTGAATGGAATTATGGAAGTATGAATGGAAATTATCGGTGGGGTACGACATTTCGGAGGCAAATGAAGCGAAACCTCATGGAAGTTTAAATGAAACACAAACGAAACCTCGAAACCGTGTTGGTACAGTCTCATTTGGACAAATATTTTTCAATTGGACTGTTTCCTTTGGCAAAACATGCGGATCACCCCCTTAACTCACTGACTGGTGGCAAATCACCCCCTCAACCCACTTCATGCGCAAATCAACCCTTCAACTCACATGCAGTGGCAAATCAGCCCCTCTGTTAAGGCTGACATCATCATTTCGTTAACTTTTAACCGTCCGTTCATCCATTCATCTGTCCCTCCTCCACGTTTGATGTGGCTTTTTTTTTTTTTGCTGAGATGGATGTTGAGATGTCTCTCGACCCCACCACCACCTCCTTCGCTTCCATAGCACTCTTCAGGTGGGTCCTACATATACCACCACCACCGATTTCGCAGCCTCTACATCTTTCAACAAGAAGAAAGGGAGGTTCTCGTTAATCTCAAACCTTTTCAGGTCCAGATCCGACAAATTGAATTTGGATCCGAGGGTTGATCCTCATCGGGATTCTTATGAGGAGCCATTGTCATCTCCGTCCTCCTCTTGGTTCTCAATGATCTTCTCTGAATGCTGAAAAAAGCAACAATCGAGAATGTTCTACATGGACATGGAGGAACTAGCTGTCGGCGAACAAAGATCTTGTAGGGTGGTTGATCAAGGAATGTCGCATGTTATGAGTGAGAATACCGAGGACAAGGGCAGTGATCGAGCGACGTATGGGAGCTCGCAGGAGGCATCGCCTCGATGGCGGTGGCGGAGGACACCAGTGGCTTGTCGACGAGGGAAGGCGGCTTGTGAGCAGGGCAGAAACATGTCCATATTGGAGTTTTGTATGAGTCCTCTGGTGAGGGTGAGCCCGAACTGGCACTGGAACCAGAAGGGAGGATTGCCGCCAGAGATAGAATTTACCGACGAGATTGTAACTTCCGTGAAGCCATGCCTGGCTGCAGCGGCGTCGTTTTGCAAGAATTGATCTAGAAAACTTGCTGATTTTGGCATAGTACATCACAACCGTTGAGAATCGGCAATAAAGATGTGACCGGAAATCTAGTAGGATCAGGTCGCGGTGAGGAAGATGATGATGACTGGAAAATAATTTAAGAACAAATTTTATATTATTTTTTAATATAATTTCATATATTATTTAAAGGATTAATTTTTTATCTGCTTGATCTGATGATTTGGTTTGGCTTGTCCAGGTGGTACCTCTATCTCAACATAAGCCACATCAAACGCGAAGGAGGGGTGGATGAACGGACAGTTAAAAATTAACGAAATGACATGTCAGCCTTAACAGAGGGGCTGATTTGCCACTACAGGTGAGTTGAGGGGTTGTTTTGCGCATGAATTGGGTTAAGGGGGTAATTTGCCACTAGTCAATGAGTTAAGGGGGTGATCTGCATGTTTTGCCGTTTCCTTTCATTAGCAAAAGTGAAAAATAGTCTATTAGAAGTCAAATGTTGTTTGAAACTTCCATGCCACGCATTAACCATGTGAAAAATAGTGACAGGCAGTCAAGATGACCCACAGGCATGTGTGGTCCGCTGTCTTTAACAGTAACCATGTCCTTAAAATAAAATAATTAATATTTTGAGACAAATAAAGTATTGGTGAATGTTTGCATGTGAGTGTCATTGTGAATCGTAACTACATCTAAGAAAAAAATTACTAATATAAAAGTAACAATAATAATAAATAGGATTAAAATTTTACAATAAAATTTAAAATTAATAATTTGATAAAAATTATACTATTTAAAATATTAAAAAAATAAATAATATATTAATTAATAATTATTTATTTTTATTTTATTAAAATTTATAATATTATATATATTAATTTATTTAATAATATGATTTATATCATATCAATAGTTACTAATTTCCTCCCATTTCTTTGTTCTCCTATGTAAAAGTTATTTATTAATGTAGGGGCCATGAATTTAACAAAAGGAATTTTTTAATAATGCATTCATTATATTTTTTTTATTACTCTTATTAGTTTGTACAAAAATTAAAAAAAAAATTAATTTTATTGCCCATTCAATTAGAATCTTTACATAATATTAATATTAAAAATAAAATTTATTTTCATAATTTTTTATATAAGTTAATAATCGAATGGTATACTAAATATTCCTTTAATAAATTAGTTTAAGATAGTTTCTCAGCATGTTCTTCACCCTCAACCCAACCCAACCCAAAAGTCAAGAAGTCTGAATTTATTTATGGAGGTATGCACGGTGATGATGGCAAGTAAGGTGGAAATGGAAAATAAAAAAGGAAATTCTTGAAAAGAGCAAAATGGGCAGTTGAGAATAGCTTGAATTCCAAGTCACCTACAAAATTTGAAATTCTTAAATTTTCTTCACCGTCTCTATCTTCCTCCTCGAATGCAAGACTTCTATATATGATTCCATCAAAGAAGATTTAGGCTGAAATGTTTAAAAGTCCAAGATTCCACGTCTAAAGATTTCGAGTTTAAATTTTAAAATTGGTGAAGAGATTAAGGGAAAGGAGTGTTATTGTGTAGCCTAATATCTATGCACCATAAAAAAAATCAAAGAAGCTTCAGTTTTCAATTCAATGGCGATGGATTCAGTGCAGGGGAGTGAGATAAACCATGGCGGAAATCTCTGAGACAAAAAGATGAAAATTCAGAATAAAAGGCATTTGCATTGCGCGTTGCTCGTAGTAGTTAACGAGATTCAAATGGCCATTGCAGCGATCACTACTATGACGACTCCAAGATGGAAGCTACATCGGATATCTTTCCGATCGTCTTCGTTCCCCGATGTAATTTATGGAGTCGTTTTCATTGTATTTGTATATCTTCCCCAATGCTTCCTAGTTGGGATTGGGAAACCGGTTCTGTTAGGCTTGGCGTCGGAGAGCGGGAAGCAGCTGCAATGAGCAAGCAAATTGAATTACGATCCCTAGCCTTACCAGTGAGTTCGATCTAAAGCTCTGTGCGTAATGTAACTGCCGGTTTTCTTTCTGATCGTGAAATTTCCTTTGTTTCAGCGGCTGAATGTGCGCCGCACGGGTGAAGATGATGAACGGAACCACTACGGGACCGGCCATGTCGCGTTTGACTACTTGGAGGTCTATTCATTAATTTAATTTGGATATTGGAGATTATAGGTTTGATTTGTGTTTTAAGATTTTAATTATGTACTTTCATATACAATTGATTTGAATTAGTATGCAGGGTTTGGATGATTTATGCATTTTTATAATTGATGATAGAGAATGCAAATAATATATTACCTGTGCATTCAATCAGTGGATATGACATGTATTGAAGGGACGATGGAATGCTTCTTTTTTAAGCAGATATAGTCTCCATTGACTATGTTTGAATGATAAGCTTGATTTTGTTTCTTTCGGATACAGTTATCTCATGGACAGATGGAAATGATTCTTTCATTATTAGTGCTTAGTTTTGAAGAGGCTGAAGGGTGCTCTTATGTATGGTAAGTCATGGGAAAATAGTGGATAAGAATGCATGAATCTCTAAACTTAAAACATTCTCATTCATGCAATTTGACATGCTCCTAGCCTTCGCTCTTTGTGTCATTGAGCTGCTCTACAAAGGACTAAAAATAGGAATCACCTTCAAGCGCCAGAGGGCAAGATACCGTGGTTTTATTATCCACCTCGCTCTCGGAATCCCAAGCGTTTTGGTACCTTTGCAGATCTCATTGGCTTAGTTAGTGCCATATACCAATGCATTGTTACGGTACTCAATTATGATTTTGCGCGCAGGGCTGCTAATAGTCCTATCGAATTCCCATTGTTGCCTATCATCTGCGCTTGTGGCCTTTTATGTTCAATAATTGTACAGACCGTAGAGAAAAGGGCTTCAGACGGAAAAGATAGTTGAGGAACGTTTCTGATCAGATTATGGTGTTGCATTGTTACTGCAAATGGATATGGTTCTTCGGTTCTTCCTGCTGTGTTGTGTTTTAGGAATGCTGTTATGCAAAATCTATAATATTTTGTTATTGTTCATTTCATTTTTTTTCTTATAAATAACAACTTTCCCACTGGGGCGTGCACAGAACAGAACCACCGCCATGTTCTTCGAATTCTGATCAGCTTTTCAATTTTTGTGAAGTTGTTAGAAGGCAGAGTATTCTCTTATTGCCTACAATTACTGGTATGGCATTATTCGTTTTCATTTATCCTCTCATTTTACCCTCTCCTTTCCAAACTAACTACTGTTTTTCAAGTTGATTTTGTCACAAATTTAATAAATGTTTTTTTAAAATCTTGCTTTTGTCCTTTATTTTTATTAAAAGTAATATAAACAAATATATAAATTATTCTTGATTTTTTTAACTCGGAGAAATAGTAAAGAAACTATAATTATTTTCAAATAGATTAAGTAATTTTTTATGTACTCAAAAATCTTTCAAGGTATGTTTTTTTAGTACCTTTTTTTAAGATAAGTTTAGTTTAAAAAAATAAAAAGAAGGAAACTCTTTCATCTCATTCGGATAAATAAAAAAAAAAGTAAAAAAAAGTAAAAAATAAAATAAAGGACTTGTCCCTCTCGCTTCTCCATTGATTTTAT